AAAAAAAAGCAAAAACGCATAAAAATGAATCTTCGATATGTGGCACTTACCATAATAATGACTAATGCTTGTAACCTAGATAAAGCCTTCTTTGTTGGAAAATAAATGAGCAAAAAACGATCCACTGAGATTGCCGAAAGTGTGAACGTCGAAAAACAAAGTGAGGTACCCTAAAAATCATTTGAGGGTGAAGATAAATTTTGCGACAGTCATTGTTTACGATTTCTGTTATCATCGTCACTATCACGATAAGATACTGTGTTAACGCATCCAATTCGTTATTATGTGGCCGATAGTGAGGACGAGGGCGCAGGCCAAGCTGAACTAGTTCTTTCTTTCGGGTTTCACGGGTTGTTTAAAGCGGAGATAATTGGAAAAGGTTTTCGACAGTAGGAAATGATGATTTGTCAACATCACCTTTCTTCTTGTGGTTTCCTCTTCGCACTATTTCTTCCAGAATCAAGCTAGAGTTAATCTTCATCCCTAGCATAAACCATTGTGAAGCTTTCGAAAAGTCAAAAGTCAAAACTCCCTCTGTCCTTGATCCCCACTGAAAGGCGGAAGCAATTGAAAGTATTTCGGAAGTAGGAAATGCCAGCAACAGCCACATGCTGGCAAGGTTGTCGATGGCTTTTCCTCCTTCGAAGGTCGTTTAAAAGCAAGCTAATAGCAGGTTTGACTCTCTGGCATGTATTGTACCTAAAAAGCATCAAAACGAATGAACAAGAAAATGTGCATAAAAATATCATCGAAACAAAGTATTAGAAAAATGTTTTCTCCACCGGTGAGGTATGTCACCACCGACAGGAACTTATTCTTGTTCTAGGCTCAACTATGGGCCATATATGAATTTGCAACCCAATTAATGGTCGTCAATGTTCAAAAAATAACAGATTTTATGCACATCTCCAAACCAAGCTATATAACAAAAATTTGCCCAATTTGCGGAATTCTATTGGTGCTCGAAATTAAGCTTTTCGAATTTTGACATATTCTTGTTCTTGACTTCTGGTGTGGGGCCACATACGAATTTTTTGCCGATTTTCTGGGAAGCACTTTTCAACTCGACAAACTTGGCCAGCGAATAAATCATGCTTATTGTAAATGGTCGCAAAAGAGGACTAACAGCAATAAATGGAGCTATTGAGCATAGCGTAGCACCAAAAATCCACTCTTTTTTAAAAGCCGCAATTGGCGTTATTGTGGCTGATGTGCAGCACACCACAAGGTCGGAGCAGCTGAGCGAAAAAATAAACATATTTGGTACCGTCTGCAGTGTCCTGAAAAACGTAACAACCAAATTGGCGGGCTTAGCACTGGTGACCCTGAAGCGTCATAATTCACGCCCTGTGAAGTTTATAATGATAACATACAAAATATAAACCCAGGCTGGAACGCACCAGGCAAGCCGGTGCGATCATGTGTTTTTGCATCAAACTTGGAGGCACTCCATCATTATTTCCCTGTTTTTGCCTCACCCCCTCCACCCGCTGTTCTCGCCCCTCCCCCTTCCTCCGCACCCGCCCTGGATATCCATCTTCTCCAAGTGGTGATATTGTGCTGCATTATACAGCACTATT